TATGCTATCGGAGGACATGTGTATTAATACATATATATATATATATATACAGCAGGCGCCTCCCTCGCGGCTGTCAGATCCTAAGCCTTCAGTCACCTGCCGTCGTTGAAATCCTGAGGATCCTAAGGGGCACTTGCATAATTTTTGCCGCGAATCCGGGGGCGGAGTTCCAAAAGAACCGTCAAAAACCGACTATGACCAGTCAGCAATATCACCTCACCCCACCCTCCAAATCCACAGACCACCAGCAATTCTTTCCTCCAAATCCTGCTCCTTGGAACACGCCCAGTGGCTAAGGAGGAAACGAGCTGTTCACGGAAGGCCCTCGGGTGACGCAAATCAGAACTGCCCAGGCCAGGGCCCCTCTCGATTCTCAGTGGCTGGGAAGTAGACTTGCAAGCTGTTCCGGTTTTGACTTCTGAAAGGATTCAGTTGCTGGACTGCAGGGAAACAGGGATGTCGGGGTGGATGTATGCATGCATATGACGCAAAGGTCAAAACTCAAAACTAAGCAGAAGATCTTCATGGAGGGCACCACCTGGTTGGTCTTCGGATTGGAAACTGGTCAATAGGACATGTGACATGTACGTTGTACCACTTGAACATTCATAAACCATCGGTACAACATGGTACGACTGGGACCCATTCTCCGAGCTACGAGTCCGGGTCGACTCCAGGCCACTGGCCTGAGGATCCCAACAAAACCCAACCCACCTTGCTTTCCGCGGACGATCGGAGCTGGAGCTGAGGAACACCTCCGAGACTCCGGCACCTTTCTTTTCTTGTCCTTCAGCCGCCCGACCACGACCCGGAAAAGACCACGACGCCGCACTGATCCTGCTCCGAAGGCTCGGTTCGGGAAGGCAGCAGGCGAACCACTCCGCATCCTTCACCACTTCGCGGATCCTGAACCGTCGACAGGGCGACTTATAAGGTCGACCGGTCGTCGTCGTTACAGGCTCCTCCGGTGGTGGGAAAGTTCTGCCAGAGACAATTTAAACTAAACACCGAGGTCGGAGGTGATATCTTCATGTGTCTTCTTGCTTGCTTGTTATATTTTTTGGGGGTGAGTAGGGGGTGGAAGGGCTTGAGCACTCACCTTCCACCAGAACCTTCCGCGTCCGGCCGTCACCGCTCCTTTCGGGCGCCAGCACCGCGGTGTAGAGCAGCTCAGGCTGTCCGACACCGGTCTTGACCACCAGGGAGCGGCAGGTGGTCTCAAGGCGCAAGGAGACGTCCACTTCCTCACTGTCTCGGCGGGCGATGGGGGGCGGTCTGAGGCGAGGGGGGACTTTTGATAGGAAAGACCAGGGTGCAGGTGGAAGGAGGGGCTTTTTCAAAGGGGGCAGGCAGGCAGTGGGCATGTTAATCGTCCAAAGATCTTTGAAGAACATCAATTTTAAAGGATTCCAATGCAAACACGTCTGCGAAGAGCAAACAAATAGGCTGTCCAATTTCCAAAATCTGGCTAGGGGTACGTTACTTTATACAACATACATCTGTAGACAGGACATTGCCAACGTCCAAAAACAGAACAGTCTGTCTGACGAAGGGGTGTAGACGACAGAATCTGTTAATATATACAGTAATTGGACGTCTGTTCACTTTGATCAAGCCCATCGCCAAAAGCATCTGAGCAGCCTGCTGCAGTAATAGTTGGGCGCAGATTCGGGGTGCTTTGCAGGTGAAACACTAAACGTACTCCCCAACAACACCTCATGTGTCTCGCACCTGCATGGGGACCATGTACGAAAATCATTGAACATCTTACAAGCATCTACAAGCCAAAGAACACCTCTTGGGCTACCCGCGGCTAATCCTGCAGCTATCTGCAGCTGCTAGCTATTTGCCGAAGAAAAACACTAGACGACGAGTGGCCCGAAAGCATTTTTCATCACGTAGGAAGTCAGAGTGCGAGTTATCTGTTAAGTGTGTTATAAGTGTTCAGTGTGAAGTGTTAAGTCGAGTGTGTTGAGGCAGTGTGTGGGTCTCTGTGTGTGTGTATCTATGTCTGTGTGTGTATGTGTCTCTCTCTGTATGTCTTTCTGAAGCGCAGGAACACCTGTTTTCTGCAAGTTCTTCACCTCTCGAAAGTCACCTCCGCGTAGTAAAGTTGTACTACAAAGTCGCCAGTTCTCATCTTCCAGCTCCACAGATTGCTCCGTGTACTAAAGTTCTACTGCCAAGTCGCCAGTTCTCATCTTCCAGCTCCCCAGATACTCCGCGTACTCAAGTTGTACTACCAAGTCGCTTGTTCTCATCTTCCAGCTCCCCGGATACTCCGCGTACTAATGTTGTACTACCAAGTCACCAGTTCTCATCTTCCCACTCCCCAGATACTCCGCGTACTAAAGTTGTACTACCAAGTCGCCAGTTCTCATCTTCCAGCTCCCCAGCTACTCCGCGTACTACAGTTGTACTACAAAGTCGCCAGTGCTCATCTTCCAGCTCCCGAGATACTCCGCGGACTCAAGTTGCACTACCAAGTCGCCAGTTCTCATCTTCTCACCGCCCAGCTACTCCGCGTACTAAAGTTGTACTACCAAGTCGCCAGTTCTCATCTTCCAGCTCCACAGCTACTCCGCGTACTAAAGTTGTACTACAAAGTCGCCAGTTCTCAGTTCTCAGCTTCCAGCTCCACAGATTGCTCCGCGTACTAAAGTTGTACTAGAAAGTCGCCAGTTCTCAGCTTCCAGCTCCCCGGCTACTCCGCGTACTAAAGTTGTACTACAAAGTCGCCAGTTCTCAGCTCCCAGCTCCACAGATTTCTCCGCGTACTAAAGTTGTACTAGAAAGTCGCCAGTTCTCAGCTTCCAGCTCCCCAGCTACTCCGCGTACTAAAGTTGTACTACAAAGTCGCCAGTGCTCATCTTTCGGCTCTCGAGATGCTCTGCGTACTAAAGTTGTACTACAAAGTCGCCAGTTCTCAGCTCCCAGCTCCACAGATTGCTCCGCGTACTAAAGTTGTACTAGAAAGTCGCCAGTTCTCAGCTTCCAGCTCCCCAGCTACTCTGCGTACTAAAGTTGTACTACAAAGTCGCCAGTTCTCAGCTTCCAGCTCCACAGATTGCTTTCGCGCGCTCGACACGCACGATCTCCGCAGAGGGTTGCGCGCACAGCCGGCAAATCGCACTCTCGCCTGTATTTCGCGCGCTCGACACGCACGATCTCCGCAGAGGGTTGCGCGCGGACCGGACAAATCGCACTCTCGCCTGCATTTCGCGCACTCGACACGCACGATCT